TGCACTTGTGTGTAAAGATCTTCCGCTCACGACGCCCCGCTTCTCTAAATACTACAGAGGTAAAGGCTAGAGAAACAGAGAGAGAGGGAGGGAAAGAAAGGGAGAGGGAGAGGGGAGGCACTAAGAAGAAACAGAAAAGGATGTCCGGCTGCTGCCACCAGCTCTGAAACCTCCATGGTCCCTGATATGATCCTGAACCTCAAGAGCAACCTGGGGACATGCTGAGAAATTCATTCGTTCAACACACATTTGGGGAATACCAACACTGAGACAGGCATGGCTCTAGACCCCAAGAACCAGACAGGAAAGCCCCCATTTCTTTTTTTTTTATTCATTTATTTCTATTTTTCTTATGAACTGTCTTTTTTCAGCCCTTGATTTTTAAAGCAGTCATCAATTACTTTGTTTATTTAGTTTCGTTATTCATTAATTTTTGTCAATTTATACTTTTTATTCATTAATTGTTTCACTCATTCTATGCTTTCACTTTGGCTAATAGTCACTTTTTATTATTCCTATCCTTCCTTCTTTACTCTTTCTCTTCTTGTTTTTCTTCAACAATTGTTTATTAAGTAAGTGTTCGTTAAAGTACCAGCCAGAAACAACTTCTTCCTTCTACTTTTCCTCCTGCTCCTTTTTCCTCCTTTCTCCTCTTCTTCTTCCACCTTTTCTCTAGTTTCTCCTCCTCCTCCTCTTCCTTTTCCTTTTTCCTTCTCGTCCATTCTGCATGCTGATAATTCCAAGATCTAAGCAGTGGCATCTGATAAAGGTATCACCTCATCAAAATTCCCCATTCCTATGCGCAAGAAGCAATAGGAGAATTAAAAGTGTCAGTGTAAGTGTGTATGGAGTGACAAGAGTTCTGACTGGACACTGCCAGACAGGCCAGGGCAACCCAGAGGTGAGGCTGCTCCGCCTGGGGCCCTGGAAAGGCTGCGGGAGGAAGCAGAAGGACAGGTAGGAAGGGCGGAGGGAGGTACAAGGGGCACACACACACACACACACACACACACACACACACACACCATGGCATGTGGACTGCTTGGAACCACACCTGGCCAGGTAGAGCAAAGGCCCTCAGTGGAGCCTTGGCAGGTGAAGGCCATAGACCCTCCCCTCCCCCTACCACCCTCCCCTGTGTCCTGGGAAAGGGGTGGGCAGTGGGAGGCGCTGTTAGCTTTAAGCAGACTTGGTTGGCTGGGTGGTGTGGGCCTCGCTGAGGGGAACCATGGATAAATCAGGGGCTTGTGAGCACTCAAACAAGAAACCACCTGGCTTCTCAAGAGACCCATGACCATGGGAATCAAAGAAGGAAGCCATTACGTGATGGTTAAAGAGATGGCACCCCTGGGAGCTGGCTGCTCACCCCTGTCATTGCAGCTATTGACAAGGCTGAGATCTGAGGATCAAGGTTTGAGACCAACCAGATCAGAGAAACCCAAGAGATGCCATTGCCAAAATCACTAGCAAATGCTAGACTGGAGGAATGGATCAGTTGGTAGAATGCCAGCCAAGCAAGCAAGCCAAGTGAGCACCAGTGCTGCCACCCAAACTAAAGACAGTACCAAGCAGGCCAGAAATTCCCTTGGGTCCCCTCTGAGTCCTTGTGGCAGGGGATGAGTGATAGCAAATTAAGATTAATTAGACTTTGCCAGAGAACTACGCAGACATCCAGAGAACAAAGAAAGGTTTATTGCCGAGGGAAAGGGGACGGGCAAGACCCCTTCTCACAAGGGAGGAATGAAAAGAAGCACTGGCTATTGTCTGAGGTGACCTATATAACCTAGGAGGCTGAGGAGGGGCTAGAAGGGGCTAGGAGATGGAGACCCCCGCGTGGATGTGTGGGCCAGGGGCTTCATCATGGTGAACTACGATTCAGGGCCAGGGGCTTCATCATGGTGACTAGGATTGATGGCTGCTGTCCATGTAGTAGATCAGGGGCCCTGCAGTCGCCCAGACCTGAAGGTCACTCTAAGGGGCTCTTGCTGCCTTCTATGGTGGTAGCTGCCCCAGAGAAGTGTCATCCCAAGGTAAAGGGGTTGGAGGCTGATTATTTACTGCCTTTACCACATGTGCCTGGCATTGCCTCGGAAGGGAGCATGCCCCACCGCGGAGAGGGGAAGGGGTGGACTAAGCTGTGGGAAGGGAGCTCATTTCGCTAACAATGAGAGACAGGCGGGAGGGCAGAGGACAGGCCAGGGCACTGTGGAGGAAGGCCAGGGCTCCCCGTGGTTAAACACAGGGGAGATGGAGCGGTATGGCTTCCCACAGGTGCAGACAGACGCCTCTGCAGGAGGCAGGCGGGCGAGAGAGACCCAGGAGCTCACTCTGAAAGGGGCAGGAGGGGAGGAGAGCGGGCCGGGGGTCTGCACCCAGCAAGGCCGGTCCCTGGCGGGCCTGGGGCCTCCACACGGGCTCGCAGGCTGGCGGGCTGGGGCCGGCTGGGTCTCCCACCACGGGGCCCGGCTGTGAGGCCCACCGTACCGGCCGAGGACGTGTTGGAGACGCCGGGGCCTGGGGTTCAGGGTAGCCTCGGATCCCGTGGTGGACCCGCAGGTGACAGGTGGACACCCAGCCCTGGCCTCCGGGAGACAGCTGGACGCCCGATCGGGACCAGGCCCCAGCTCCGGGGGTCCGGCTGGAGCCGGGGGAGGCCGCCCCCAGCTTCCCGGAAGCCAGCCTTTCCCGGGGGAAGTCCAGGCCACCTGAGAAGAGCCTGATCCCCCCCACGCGCGCCCACACACACACACACGCAGGACACCCCGAATGCAGTGCCCAGACCTCGAGCCCCCACCCACCCCGCCCCAACCCAGGCAGTGTCCTCCGGACAGACAACGTGGCGGCCCGCAGGACGGTGCCGGGGCGCCGGGGCGCCGGTCCTGGGTTGACCGCGGGGTCTGCGCCGTCCCTGAACTTTGTGTTTTGCTCCAGGCTGGGCGCTCTACCCCTTGAGCCACAGCTCCGCCTCCAGTTTGGATGGTTAATTCGCCGGCTTCCCGGCCCGGGATCGGGACCGGCTTCACACCGCCCTCCTCCGGCGGGCGGCGCGGGCAGGGAC